ATAATCATTTGGTGCTTTCATTTTCTTTTGGATTAACTAGTTGAGATTTGAGATTTTAGCTGGTACAAAATCAAAGAGAGTCACCTTGTCCCAATATTATTTAACAAGGATATTTTTGTTTAATTTTCTAGGAGCAAGTGTTTCATGAAACTCAGATCTTCTTTTTAGCCATCTAAACAGCACTAGCTATTCAATGAAGATCTATCATTTGGTGCTTTCATTTTCTTTTGGATTAACTAGTTGAGATTTGAGATTTTAGCTGGTACAAAATCAAAGAGAGTCACCTTGTCCCAATATTATTTAACAAGGATATTTTTGTTTAATTTTCTAGGAGCAAGTGTTTCATGAAACTCAGATCTTCTTTTTAGCCATCTAAACAGCACTAGCTATTCAATGAAGATCTACTATGAAAATGTTGTGAGAACACCAGGGTTAATAACTACTCTTCTTCTTTGAAAAGCAAAGCAGGGAATGATTAAATCATCCACAAGATTATATGGTACTTTCAAGCAGCCACTGAACACCATGCTGAGGTGATGGTAGAGCATGCTCATCTATTATTTTTAGGTGGGACTTGCTGTTAACTAATGGGACTAGTTGTATTTTTTGCACTTGAGGTATTAGTCAAGAGCAAGCTGAATCAGAGACATTATACAGCATCTGAAGCATTCTCACTTTCAGACCCCCACCATGTGATGTGACAAGAATAAATCAGTTAGTTGTTTCCCTAGTATTTGAGAACAATGTGTATGTGTGTGGGAGGAAGAGTGAGGGGAGGAAAAACTGCTATGCACTGTGTAAATAACACAGCCCTCTGCTAGAGATTTTTGAGCCAATGAAAGAATGGATTAGACAACAAGAACAATAAAGCTCACTTCACAATTTTCTGTCAGTTGTATGCAAATTCCAACCAATGTGCTGTATTGCTGGAGAAACAATCAAGCTCTATTCTTTTCTCTCCTATGCTAGTGTAAATCAGGAGCAACTCTCCACTGAAGTCAGGGCCTGACTCTTTTCACTTATATTGGTTTATTTCTGTTAACTTCAATGGAATTGAAGTGTTTGAGAGTGAAGGATCAAGCACAATAAAGATACGATAGCATATACATGATGTAGGATGAGAAGCAGAGCCAGTGTTTTCATAATTTCTTAGACACAGGGAGACTGGATGATTTGTTCAATATAATGCTTTTCATTTCTGTCAGAAGAAGAAAAGTGAGTATTGCCTGAAATTCATTACTGAAGTTTTTTGTTTGATGGCCATGTGGGTTTTTTGTCTTCTCAAACTAGTCAAAATGGTTAGTTGGTTTGACAGCTATTTGTTTTATATATATATAAATAAAAACAACCCCCTGTTTCAGCAACTGTACAGCCGGTCCCCGAGTTGCGAATGATCGACTTACGAGCATTCGCAGTTACGACCAAAACTGTCATAAATGGCGGACCCCGAGTTATGAACAGGATCCACACTTACAAACAGCGCGGTCACGTGTAACTCAATGGGGTCCGACTTACGAACAAACCAAGTTACGACCAATTGCTTGGTCCGTAACTGGTTTGTAAGTCAGAGAGAGGCAGTCTTGACAGTTTCAGTAGACTTTGACTAAGAATGAAGACTAATTTATTCTCTGTCTCCCACAGGCCATCCCTGTGAGGTGGAGGCACTGCTTGGTCCAGTCTGTATTTATTCATTGGAGAACTGGACAGTTAGCACCAGATACTGATCCCTCTAATACTTGCAAGAATGAGTTCCATGTGGAACCCTCAATGTATAAATACCTTTTTCTCCCCCAAGTACACGATGGGTCAGTACTCCCAATTGGCTCATGGCTCTGCTCAGGTCTGGGTAGGGTGACCAGATGGCCCGTATTTAGGCACTCTTAAATGTGTCCTGATTTTTCTTAAAAATGACTGGTCCTGCTGCCTGCCCACCAGTGCTAACTGGCAGTGTCTAGTGGTTGATGATGATTGTGGGTGTGCAAGGCTGGTGGTAGCTGCAGGGTGACACTACATCTACACTGCACAGTTATTTCAGAATAAGTTATTTTGGAATAGTTATTTCAAAATATCTTATTTCAACAAAGCACATCTACAGTGCAGGGAAGCCTCAAAATCAGTCCGAGGCAGGCTTCCCAAATGTAGACATGCTACCTTGATTTAGAGCCCCAGAAGGAATAACTTAGACTGGCCCTGGTGAGGGGCTATTTTGAAATAGCAGAAGTGGAGCGTCTACACATGCCTTATTTCAAAATAGCTATTTCGGAATAGGTGTTACTCTTTGTACAATGAGGTTTACAGAAGTCAGAATAAGCCATCCATTATTGTGAAATTATTTTGAAATAATGTAATTGCTGTGTAGACACACGCATAGTTGTTTTGGAATAATGTCCGTTATTCTGAAATAACTTTGCTGTGTAGACACACCCTGAGAGACTGGTGCTCCCCCTGCTACTCCATCAATACAATCCCCATTATATGCTGGCTCTCAGCTAGGAGAGCCCCACCCTCCATCCTATTTCTAGTTACTGGTGAGCAGTGACAACTGCTGACAGTGGAAGGAGGGTTGCACCGGCCATGTGCCTTACCCCCCCACCCAGGGAAGAGCTGGGATAATCCCCTTCCATTCTGGGCCCTACCCCTGCCCTGCCCCCTTGCTTTGCCCCCAGAGGACTGGTGGGACCAGTGCTGGGGGTCTGCACCGTGCCCCGCCTCCACTCACCAGCAGCAGCAGGAAGGGTGTGGGCCAGGCAGCTTCAGTTCATGTGGTGCTGCTTTCCAGTTGCCCTGCTCCGGGGGAGGGATGGGACCACCCTTGTGTTCCCTGGAAGCAGCACCATAGAACTATGGCATAGGCCACATAACTTCTCCCAAAATATGAGAACACAAATCTAATTATTTAAAACCACCATTTAAATTGAAATGAGATGTCCTTTAAAAATACTTTTA